TAGTGGGCTTGCACGCCCCCCCTCAAAGATATATGAGGCTTGGTTAGCAATAAAGATCCCCCTCTCCTCTCCCATCCTCGCTCCCCTGTTCCCTTTCCCCTTGTCCTCCTTCCCCTCCCCCTCTCTCCACGTGGACCACCAAGTGAGGCTGAGGTGAGCATGCTACCATGAAATGTGTCTGACTCCATTATTTCAATCTCTCCTCTATTTCTCATCTCTCTATGACTTTACTATAATCTTTACTTATTATTGCTGTACAATTGCACCTATCGAACCCGCGATTAGTGGTGGGGGCTGGCCTTTCCCCACAGACACTGGTGGGACCCTCTTCCTACTCCTCTGCCTTTCCCTTCTCTCTGTGAAACTGCAGATGATCAGGAAAACCGCAAGAACAGGACCAAGGATTTCCATATATCCTTCTCCAGATTTCTCAAATATTAACATTTTATTATCTTTACTTCTTTTTTTTCTACACACACACACACTTTCTGAATGGTTTGAAAGTAAGTTGCAGATATGATACCCCTTTACACTGGACTATTTCAGTGGAGTTTTCAAAAAACAAATGTATTTAAAAAAAACTTTATTGGGGGTTCTTCAGGCTCGGTAGCATTCCACACATCAATTGTATTAAGCATATTTGTAACAAATGTATTTTCTAAGCTAGCCATAGCACTGGTTTAAGGAACCAGGAGATCAACCTTGGTAAGACACTGCTCTCTAATCTTCAAAATTGATTCAGATTGTACCAAATACCCTAGTGAAGTCCTTCTTTTCGCCTTTGTAGAAGAAGAGAGCCCCCAGATTCCATATTACCGCTAGTGATCATATTTATTTGACCTTTTTAACTTTGAAACAGCCGCTCATTCTCTCATGACATGGGCCTATTGGAAGTGTCCGGGTCAGCTGCTTCGTGGAATGTTGCTCAGTATTAGTTTGTCTGCTCTTTCCCCAGGATGGACTCAGCTAATGTAGGTTTGCTAGGGCTGCTATAGGAGTCTGTGCTCTCACAGCATAGCACATCAGAGGGAGCCATTGGACTTCTGCGGGCGACCACCACGACATGCATGCCCATTTCCCACCCAGTGTCCAAATGGACCTTCGTAATAAGAGAAGAGATCCTGGGTGAAACTCTCAGCTACTCAATAGGCAACCAATTAAGCTCTTGACTACTAACAGAAAGGCGTGAGGTCCAGGTCAGCTCAGCAAAGAAACACCTGCAGATCTGCTTGTAAAACCCCATGCAACACCGTTCTATTCTGCAGCACACAAGGCCATCATGATTTGGAGCTGATTCAAAAGCAACTGGTTTGGCTTTAGCAAGTCAAGGAAATAAAGAGATTAAGGGTGGATGACCCTTCAAGGTACATCACAGATAAGGTTTCAAAACCTAGAGAGGGACAGTGGCTTGTTGGAGTCTACACAGTCCCCAAAGAGCCAAGGCACGGACCTAAGTCAAGGCTAGTCCTTGAGAGAAAGATAGCCATAAATTGGTAGAGTCAGGCCTGTAGTATACAGGGGAAGTTTTGGTGGAAGGCAGCTCCTTGAGGCGGGTAAGGTGAGGCTAAGTGGGTAGGGGATGCCAAGGGGGATTTTTGCTCTGGATGGGTTTTCAGAGGACACACACCTCTTATAGAGCAATCGAATGACTGGTGATAACGAAGGACATTGTTGCAGTAGAGGGTCATCAAGTCAGTTCTGACCCATGTGACCCACGTGACAAAGTAGAACCGTCTGTCGGGTTTTCTTGGTTCTAATTTTTACAGAAGCAGATCACTAAAACCTTCTACCATGGAGCCCCTAGGTGTGTTTGAACTGCTAACCTTTCAATTAGCAACTGAGTGCTTAACCAAGAGGGCTCCTCATACTAACAGTAAAAGTAGTGGTAATATTATGGAATTTCAGCATTGCACATCATCTCACCCAGTTCTCAAAGTTTATAACGTTATTAACTTTGCTTTATCTACAAGGCCACTGAAGTATTATGGGGTTCGATCCCAATCTTC